AGCAAAATTCGTGTCAAAAGATATAAGGGCGCGAAAAGAAGACAAAACGGCGGGAAAATAAGAGAGAATGGCCCGAAAAGAAGACAGAATGGCGCCAACAGAAGCACCATGAAGCAGCATGCGAAAACGACACTTTGGCGCAATTGCGCTGATTCAATGCGCTTATACCGGTCATGGCGTTGGCTTCATGGTATCAGCGCCAGAAAATTTGCTGTGTTACCCAGGCCTACTCCTTCAGCCGTGAATTAAAAATTAGAGATGAAAATATCGAAGAGGTGAAAAGTGTCAAGTACCTAGGAATATACATAGACAACAAACTAATGTTGAGCACGTTGAGTATACAGTCAACAAGATTGCAAAAAAAAATCGGCCTTATAAAGAGATCATGTAAGTACTTGGGAGAAGATATAAAACATTGGTGTACAGGTCTATAGTAGAACCACACTATATACTGCCCTACGATTTTCTTCCTAGCGGGGGACTCGCATGTAGATAAGCTGCAAAAAATTCAAAACCGAGCGATGTTATTCATTTTCAACAAACCGTAAGACACACCATCAAGATTATGCTTGAAACCTTTTTCTCCACGCTATGAAATTTGTGCACAATAGTAAGAGGGGCCACCTGCCGGATTATCTTAGCGACAATCTCCGATATATAAATGAGACCCATATATATTTGTTAAGAGAGAATACAGCTTCAGACTCCCGATGTATAAAACGGTAGCGGACAAAAAAAATATTTTTTATAAAGGCTTAAAGTGCTTTAATGAATTACCAGAGACTAAAAAATTGTGATACTATCACTCTATTCAAGCGGCTGCTATATGACCATTGTAGAAAGCAGCTTATAAGATAGTGATGTATAACAATAGCGTAGATTGGAAACTAGGCCTTTCCAACCACCAAGATATCGAGACTAGGTGGATCGGAAACTTGGCCTTTCCGACTACCTAGAGTACATTAAAAACCTTTGATACTAAACAATAAATGAGCGGATTGAAAACTAGGCATTCCAATCGTCACGAAAGCGCGACTGTGTGGATCGGAAACTCGGCTTTTCGACAACCCAGGAGATATCAAGATATGGAGTAACCCGAAAAGTATAGCGCGGATTGGAAACTCGGCATTTCCAACCGTCCACATAACCTCCGGGCAATGGCATGCTTTTATATTGATATAAAATAATTGCAGTGAAGAAATAATGTCATTTAAAAATTTTCGTAGAGCATATCATGTTTAATATTTAAATTTTATATCTAAATCTAATTCTAAGAATGTTAGATCTTTTATGTAATATAAGTCTAACCGACAGTAAAAAATAAATAAATAATAAACAACAACAGCAATAGTTGTATTTATTTGGGTTATCCAGTTCAGTATCACGATCATTTCTCACGGAAACGGTCTGGATCAGTCTTATTGGAGTTGGCAGCACTAATTTTACACTACTAGCACGAGGAATACGAAATTATAAAAATGAACTCACTAAATGGGGAAAAGTACATTTAAACGAAATAATATTCACCTTGGAGAAATTCATAGTTCTCAAGTTGATATCCAACATAATTCTTCAACTCATCTCTAACGGACGCGCAGATACGTAAAAAATGATAGAGAAACGAATTTTTAATTATCAAGAGAAAAACTAAAGCTATATAAAGAGCAAAATTACCAACAAAAAGTAGATAATCTTCAAAGAAAATAAAACGCGAAGTGAATCAAGTGGCAAAATTACTGTCGGACTGTGTACTGTGAAATGAATTATTATATACGATATTGATTAACTACATAATACAAAAGGAGTAATAAAATGAAAAATTAATATTCAAATTCATCTATGTATGTCGTTTCAATC